CGACTTTCAGACGAGCAAAGTCAATGGGGAAGCCAGATTTACTTAAACAAACACAGCAAGGAAAATGGTAAAATGCGGCAAAATTTTCACTTAACAAATGTCTCGGTTTTGCAGCATAAATTTTGGGCTCAGTTGTGATCCTAAGTGGAGGACTACCTTGGCTTACGACCGTTCGTTTCACAAAGTTAAAAATGGGGGGGGGAAAGTGACGTGGAATCCGTTTTCTTCAGTTCACGTATTGTGTGTGTCTGCTTTTCCAGATTCTTGACCTACTATCCCGGAAGAAGGATCACTGCCGAAGACGGCTTAAAGCACGAATATTTCCGCGAGACCCCACAACCCATTGACCCCTCCATGTTTCCAACATGGCCGGCCAAAAGCGAACAACAGCGAGTGAAACGGGGCACCAGCCCGCGCCCCCCAGAAGGAGGACTGGGATACAGTCAGCTGGTAAGTTCATTCAAGGAGTGTCATAATACAGCCAGAAACCTTCCATTAGTAGTGTTTCTATACAGTGAAAAGGGTATTTAGAGCCTGCTAAGAATGGAACAATAATAGCCAGTTTGGTGTAGTGGGCTAGAAACCAGGAACTGGGATTTCCTGTTCCACCCTGGGCACAGAGCCAGTTGGGTGACTTTGGGCTCAGAGGATGATGAGTTCTAATCCTGCCTTAGACTTGAAAGCCGCCTGGGTGACTTTGGACCAATCACCAGGAGACTGGGAGTTCTAGTCCTGCCTTCGGGTTAAGGATAGACTCACATTTATGATGGTTGCAGTATCCTGGGGTCATATGTGATTGTCTTTTGTGTCCTGACAAGCCAAGTCAGCGGGGAAGCTAGATTCCCTTAACAAACCCGTCACTGACTTAACACCAATGCTCCACATTAACAACTGTGGCAAGGAAGGTTGTAAAATGGCAGAATTCTCTTAACCGCGGACTCGCTCAGCCACAGAAATTTGGGGCTCAGTCGCCGTCGTGAGTCGCCGTGGTATTGACACCCCTGGGGGTACATGTGTCCTTTTTCCTCCGCAGGGCGACGATGACATCAAAGATACCGGTTTCCATCTGACGACCACGAATCAAGGCGCCTCAGCCGCTGGGCCCGGATTCAGCCTGAAGTTTTAAAACGGAAGGGGCGGAAGGTTGCGCGATCTCGCGAGAGGAACCAGAAGGAAAGGGGATTTTTTTGTGTTCTCTGGGGGAACGGAAAAAAAACATCAGGCTACGCCGATTTCTTTGTTCTTTTTGGCAGAAATATTCTCTGCAGTTGGGACCAGCTTTTGGATCAAAGTAGAGAAAGTTGGATTCCTTTTTAAGGATTGGAATTAATTCAAAAAACCAAGGACCCTTTCGAGGGGGAGGGGGGCAAAAACCCACCATGACCATCGCCATCATGAGAACAAAATCCCAACTAACTTCAGGAACTTTTTTTTTTTTTTAAAGAAAACACTTCTTGTTTCTATTTATGCTTTTTCCATCCGGATTAGTTTTTTTCTTCTTCTTGTTTGTACATATGTAAAATAAAAAAGAAAATGATTTTTAATTGTTTACTCGGTATACAAATTACCTTCTTTTCTTTGCTCCTTTCAATCTTGAGTAGGGTTGTATTTTAACACTTGGTGCATTCTTCCTTCTAGCTTTGCAAACCGCGTGTTGTGGCTTTGTGACAGGAAGAAGGAAAGAGATGTAAAAAAATAATAATACGGAGAGCTGCTTGTCATGTTTAACAGCTCTCGGGCCCGGGGGGGAAATATTCAGGGAAACCTGACGAAGGTGAACACCACTTCTCCTTTAAAAATAGAAAGTTAAGTCTTGATAGCCTTTCTCTTCAGGCCTTAAAAAGAACGGCCCACTTGCTGAGTTGGGCTGGCTGACTTGAAAATGTGCTGATATCTTACTTTAATCCAATTGCAGACATTTTGCATCAGATGCTGTGGGAGAGAGGGAGAGAGAAAGAGAGAGAGGAGGAAAAAAAAATGCAGATTGTGATAGCGTAGCTTGCCTTTTTGAGATGACTTTGATCTAGTTGTTAGCTTCCAAGCGTTTCATCAGGTAAGTTGACAACTTTCAAGATTTGTGTTTCAAATGTACCTTCCCTGCTTTGCTCGCCATAAACCGTTCAGGCCGGTTTTTAGACAAAACATACTTTTCACAGGCCAGCTGAGGTTCCCAATTCCCAAAAAGCAAATACTGTCTTTTTTTTTAAAAAAAAAAGAAAGTTTCCAAAAAGGGATCATTCATGTATTGAAGAGAATGGATTGAAATTTGCAAAGCTGTATAAATGTAGCAGGATTGATTTTGGTTTTAACAAACATCTTTCTCTGAGGAGGGATAACGGTAGCCCGGAAACAGCCTAAAGTGAACATAGAATTAGTTTTCTCCTGCATTGTACAGTACAGTTGCTTTAGGGCCGTGATGGCGAACCGATGGCATGTGAGCTGCAGGCAAACTTATTTCATTGCACATGTGTGTCCCTCACGGCTGATTTTTGGAGGGTTTGAGGCCTTTTTCTGCCTCCCAGAGGCTTGAGGAAGGCTTCTGCAAGCTTTTCAGGCCAAAAACTAGGCCCTGTTTTTCCGGAAATACTGGAAGTGACAAAACGGGCCTAGTTTTTGGCCTGCAGAAGCCTTCCTCAAGCCTCTGGGAGGTCCCAAAAGGCTGCAAACCCGCCGAAAATCAGCTGTGAGGTGCAGGTAAGGGGGCTGCGGGGGTGGGTGGGTAGGGATAGCATGTGCATGCATGGGGGGGGGCGCATTGCCTTCTGGGTGCTGGCATGGGAGGCGTGCAAGCACCCGCACAATTTTTGGCACAGGAGCCCAAAAATGTTAGCCACCACTGCTTTAGGGCATGAAACCTCATGAATTTCTAACCTGAGAATGAATAAACATGACATCCTTTTAGCAGTGAGTTCTCAGGGTTAAACTCCTTGTGCCTTACTCGCGTTCTCAAAGCCTGTTGTTTTATACATATTTGCAGGGAAGCCTCAACTTGCAAGCATTGGCTTAGTGACTGAAGTTACAACGGCACTGAAAAAAGTGACTTACAGTCGTTTTTCACACTTAACGGCCATTGCCGCACCCCCACGGTCACTGGATCAAAATTAGGGCACTTGACAGCTGCCATTCATTTATGACAGTTGCGCTGTCCCAGGACTAATCAGTAGGGAGGAATCCCGATTCTCTTAACAACGTCAATGATGCGCTTAACTATGGCAAAAGGTTGCAAAATGAATAGCAACGCAGTTAATCACTGCCTTGCTCAGCCGCGGAAATTTGGGTGTCAACCGTGGTTGTAAGTCAAGGGTTGCCTGTATTTTAGGCTGACTGCTGTATTGAAAATAGCTTTTTTTCCCCTCCCTTCTTTTGTGCTTCAGGAAAAGAACAGAATATTGCACACAGAGAGAGCTTTCTTTTATCAGATTGGATAAATGTTATAAAATGGAACTTTCTTTTAAAGTGTAAGGAAGCATTTTCCCCTGCATTGCAAATGGCAGCAGTATATACATATTTTTTTTTTCCATCTTAACGGCCGCCTTGCAAACCTTGAAAAAGGTAAGAAAACGGCTCTTGCTGCACATATGCTGGCAGCCTTCTCTGTTTCCTCTAATACACACTAAGGTTGCTTTTACACTTAGTAAGTATCCGTATAATAGTAACGGTAGGTAGTCCTCGACTTCCAAGCACAACTGGGGCTGGGACTTCCGTTGCTAAGTAAGGCGGTTGTTTAAAATCGTGTCGATTTTATGGGCCCCTTTTTTTTTGCCACACTTAAGCAAATCATTGTGATTGTTCAATGAATCACATTATCATTAAGCAAATCCAGCAAATGTCACCTTGGAGATGCTGTAATAGTAGTAAAAGCAAATTAGTTAGAAGTCTTTTTTTTTTTTCAGTATTGTAACTTTGAACAGTTGGTAAATTGAATGCTCGTAAGTCAAGGACTACCTATAATGTGTTTTCAGTGAGTGTTGCAAGCCACCTCTAGTGTTGTCTGTATCTGCATGACAAAAACCTTCCCCCGCAGAGTAATAAATCTTATGTGTGTTTTCTTCTGTCTTCATTGTTCCTGCTCCTTGCCTTGGGTGGAGCCCGAAAATTGGATTAATCAGATAAACCGTGATTTAGCTAACCAAGGATTAGAGTGACTGTGAACACAGTCTCTGTGCCTCTCTGTGGAGCCTTGTTGATTTGCATGAGGAATGCCTGACATTTTCTAATGGGGCTTTCTAATGTCTTTAACGCTTCAAATGTGGCTTACGAACGTTGTTTCTTGCCCAGGAATGTGTAGGCTTTCTTTGTGTCTGACAAATTGAACTGAGTCAGCGGTGTCATGAACCCATAACTCAGTATTATTTCTCAAACTTGGCAATTTTTTAAGATGCATAGAAATTTCCCAGCCAGCTAAATTTCATTGCTGGGAAACTAATAAGCCTCAAACACATGTCCCTGCCTGTTCTAATTATACGATCATGTCTCAGGGCAACAGGGCAAGCGTAAAGTGTTCGCAAGCAACAATCAGTATCAGCATGGAAGTGCTTTATTTGAGCCAAAGGACCAAAAGGATAAATTTCTGGTGAAATTCCTTAAGGATCAGCTGTCCTGTACCTTTCCAGAAACTATATACCTGAGTTGGCAAAATTCTTTCCAAGGCTGTTGACCCAAGTTTAAAAAAAAAAAAAAAAATTCCTAACAGATGCAAAGGTTTAAACGAAGGAATTTTTTCTTTGGATCTTTTCTTTCTTGCACCCTAAACAGGGCAGAAAACCTAGCTTGTGATTTGGAGGGGTATATATGATCTCTAATCTTAGGTAGTACGTGAAATTGCAAACTTGTTTTGGGTAAGGTCTGCTTGGTGGAAATAACTCAGCCCAGGAATTTCATTATATGCTGGGAGCTTTTACTAAACTGTAGAACGATGAAGGCCTTGGCTATAACGTTTTTTGTTGCACCTCTGTTTTGAAGAGACCTCAGGTCCCCAACCCTATACTATAAAATGTTTATTTTTGGGGGGGAGGGTATTGGAGGAGGGATATTATTATATATGCCGTCTTGAACAGCTCCAGGAGAGAGGAAAAGAAAAATTTAATATCTCATTGATAGCACCAAACTCCAGATTTTAGCAGAACGTAGGTAAGTGTAAAAGTGTATAAGTGTAAAATGGCTCCCAAAGAATATTAGCAACCTTAAAAAAAAAAAAAAGCTGATCTTTTAGCTCATGTTGTAGCCTATTTCTCCTCCCTTTGGGCCCCTTTGTGACTTCAGCTACCCATCCTATCATCCCCAGCAGGCTTGGCCAAGAATAAAAATGGTGAAAAATGCAGGGAAGGGGGAAAACAATATTTTTGCAGTCTCCTCCTGGAAGGGATAACCTGGGAAAGGTGGTTTTCGTGAGTGCGGATCGGCTGTTGAAAGTGCAACATGGCAACAGGTGGGGAAGTGGGCCCACCTAGAGTGACTTGGGGGTCTGTAAGTCCTTGCCCACAGTCCACATTAATGCTTCAGCCTGACTCTCCAAGAATACGTGGTCAAGACTTTGGACTTTTTCTTCACGATGCAAGTGTACGTTCCTTCGTTGATGGCATTAGCTATGATGCTCATGTGGTTGCCATTCAGAAACAGGTAGCCAGGATAGGAATATTCCAGCAATTCCTTCTCCTTATACCAACTGCGTGGAAAAAGGGAGGGAGGGAGGGAGGGAGGGAAGGAAGGAAGGAAGGAAGGAAGGAAGGAAGGAAGGAAGGAAGGAAGGAAGGAGAAACAGGAAAAAACAGGAAGGAGAGAGAGAAAGAAATAGGAAAGGAAGGAAAAAAGAAAAAAACAGGAAGAAAGAAATAGGAAGGAAGGAAGAAGAAAGGAAGGGAAAAGAAAAAAAATCAGAAGGAAGAAAAAAGAAACGAAGGAAAAAGAAAAAAAGGAAGGAAAAAAGAAAGAAAAAGAACAATCAGTTTGATCAACTGTACAAGGTTTAGCCCATACACCATGCTTAATAAAAAGAGCCCACATGGAGATCTTTTTAGTCCGTAGGTTTGGCAGCTATGAAACAATGCCAATCCTTTTTAAAAAGGGACATTTTAGCTGTAAAAACTTTCTCTCTCGCATTCATCTCAGTCCCCAAAAATCCAGATGCAAGTAACTTACTAAACTTTCCCCTTTTTGTGAGTGATTTTCTGGCCACATCGGAAAGTAACGTTCCGGCCTTCAGGGACAAGCCTGGTCTTCATCCTTGGTGGCGGCAGGGTGGGTATCACCGTCGGAAAAGGGAACTCTGCCGTCGGAGTAAGGGAAAGTGGGAACAACAGGCACATCAGGATTAAAACAAGGGAACTAACGCAGCTCTCCCTCACCAAAATTTTTTTTAAAAAAGTGATATGTGACCCAGAATAGCGGTCTTCTTAGGAAACGCCCCAGCTTGCATTTGGTCTGTTAAATCTGCTAAATTCCTAAATTTCTTTTCACAAGTTTTGTATGCCGATTGATTTCGTTCTGCAAATAGCTCGTCGACTGTCTTTGGAATTGCTTCATGTCACGGCCCGCCCTGGGCAGATCTGGAGCAAAATGATGATATTTTGCTGAGACTGGGACAGATAGTTGTCGCTTCCCTCCGCTCCCAAATCCATTTAGAAAACAAATGTGGGGTTTTGAATTTCCCAAAGACGGCTGGATGATGCAGAGAGATTCCCGAACCCTTGCGAAAATATTATACCAGCAGTATAACATTAAACCATTGTTTTATAGCAGTGTCTCCTAATCTGAACAACTTTAAGAGGGGTGGACTTCAATTCCCAGAATGCCCCAGCCAGCTGGCTGGGGTATTCTGAGAATTGAAGTCCAACCCCTCTTAAAGTTGCCAGCGTTGAGAAATACTTGCGTGAAGAATCAGTTGCTCTTTTTACTACACAATGGACCACAAACGCCAGTTGTGAGAGTTACCCAAGCAGAAATCACAGCTGTAGGGGCAGTGCTTTTTCATAAACCGTTGGCGTGTTTGACAGTAGCCTTTCCGACTCCACGACGGACATATAAACAGTCGGTCTTTGCAGCCTGGAAAAAATTAAAACAAATATTTATTTTTTTAAAAAAAAAAACAGGGTTTCACTTTAAAATGCCCAAGAAGAAAAGGTAGAAATACCACCGCTCGTTCATTTTGTGACTGAACTGATTCGACCCTACTCTTAACACAAAAGCGAGGTTTGGGTGGTGTGATGACCCAGGGTGAGATACAAAATAAACACAGTCACAAAAAACAAGTGAAGCCCCTTTTATTCTTTGGCTTTGCTTCCAAGCTGTAAATATCCTTGATTGGAGACAAAAAAAAACCTCCCACACAAACGGTTACAAGGAGGAGGAAATGCCGTTTAAATTATAAAGAGTAATAAACAACACAAACCAGGAAAGATAAGACGTCCACAGATATCAGAACACACACTGGGAAGGACGCCAAACTAAGAGGGGAACCATAAACTAGAGATACTTCCACGCTTTGTTTCCAGCACTTGACCATACGCGTGTCCATCCTCTTATCCAGTTGTCACAGCTGCAGCCCATGAAGGCGATCAGGGCCCTTTCCTCCACCATAGACCATGCCATTCCTGTCTCTCCCTTATCCTCTCCTCCCTGCATGCCCTAGGATGGAGAGGGGATGGGCCTGGGTCTTCTGACTGCCTAGCCGGCCTCTGCCCTTCCCCAGCCTCCTCCACAACCTCCAGAGCCACACTTCCACTCCCTGTCGGCTGTTCCTCCTCTCCTTCAGAGTCAAGTCTCCACCAGGGACATGACAGGTGGCCAAACTTAACAAAGGGCCCAATAGCAGCAAACCTTGATTCTTCCCTCATGGCTCTGAGTTTGGATTTAGCTGAAAGGTAACAGGCACGAGATAACGGGTTTCTGGAGGAAACTTTGAGTATGGAGCTTAATCCCAACATGTCAACATTTTAGCGCTTTCCTACAGCGGCCTGTAAAACTGGTATAATGAAACAGCCTCTTTGTATCCTCTAAAGATGGATCCAAATTAAGAGGGGTGGAAAAATCGCTTTTGTTGATGTTTTCACAAGGCCAAACACACACACATTCAATCCGTTCTAATTTGCTGAGGTTTTTCAAAAATACTGAGAAACCACCAACATCGATGCTAGCAGGGAGGAGATACAGTTCATTTCCGGAAAAGAAATATTTAGTATAAATGCAAAAAGAGGAGGACATTTTCAGTTGATCGGATGGCAGCGAAAATAATTCCACCCATTCTTTTTAAACAGGGCGTGGACTGTATGTTTGGCTCAAAGATCAACTGGTGGCTCCTGCCAATCCAAACAGTTTGAAGCACAAATGCTACAATCAAGAATATATATTTTTCATCCCTTCTCCACCGTCTCAGAGGCCGTCCACCACCACAGCTCAATGTTCTCTCTTTCAAGCTGTAAACACCCTGCAGCCGAATTTCATCGTTGGGTTGGAAACCTATCATTTTCTCTTCCCGACGGGTTCTGGCTTTCAGAGGCCCAGAAAAGACAGTTTGGGGAAACTCTAAAGCCACCGTGGGCTGAAGTCCTCGTCCAAGAATTTGGATAGATAATGCTGCCTTCATGAGGGTTAGGATTGACCTTAAACAATTTCAATTTTAAAGCGCGTGCCCTGTGATTTCCCCATGCAGATTCTTTCTTCCGCGTGTTTTCTTCTTTTTACAAACCTACACAACCCCTTTTTTTTTTACAAACCTACACAAGCATTTTAAAAAACTACTTCTCCAAATCTGGTCTGTGTCCTTTGGCACAGTCGCTTTTTCCAAAGGCAGCTGGGTTTTGCTTCATTTTTCCCTGAAGATGTTTCGCTTCTGATCCAAGGCGCTTCTTCGGTTCTGAGCGAATGGTGGAGAACGGAAGGGTTTATATTCCTTGCAGCCACCTGGTCATTATCCCTCTCTCTCTAATGTCTTCAAGGAAAACCAATCCAGTTGCCTTTTGAAAAAGCATCTTTGAGACAACTGTGCAAGAGGACAAAGATTTGGGGAAGTGGATTTTTAAAAACCCCGCGTAGGTCTGTAAAAATGCAAAAAGCAAGAAAACATGAATCTCAAGACATTTTGCACAGTTGTTACCTCCGCTTAGGCCTAATTGCACGAGGCGGCTCTTTTTATCAGGAAAACTACCAAAGGAGATGGATTAATCGTCCCCAGCCTCGTTCCTTTCCTCCTGGCGACCGACGGCGCCCGCTTACCATAAAGCCGATAAATTCCCCACATCTCGTCCTGCGAGATCGTGTTCTTCCCTGTCAGGGTGGCATTCACATGCATCAAGGCGTTGGGATCCAGAGAGTGCATAAGGCCTAACGCGTGGCCAATTTCGTGGGCGGCCACGTGAACCAGATCTGTCAGCCAGACGACTTAAAAAAAAAAAATCAAATAGGAACCTAATTAACCGGTTGCATTGCAAGGAAGAAAGCACACAGTGTGTTATAAAAAGCTATTCTGGCTAGTTTAGGATGCTTCAATCAATCTGCCAGGGTTAACTCCCCCCAAAAAAACCCCTGCAAAAACCCAGGAACAGGAAGGATTTCGGTCAATCAAGTTTGCTTCGTTCAATGCCCCGGCTTGGCTTTTCCCAATCAACAGATGGCGGAAAATAAAACATAATCGTAATCCTCGACTTAACAACAGTTCATTTAGCGACCGTTTGAATTTACAACAGCACTTAAGCAAAGTGACTTACGACCGTTTTTTTCAAAGTTACGACCTTTGCCGCATCTCCATGATCACAGGATCAAAATTCAGGCGCTTGGCAACCGACCCGTATTTACGATGGTCGCTGCGTCCTTTTGCAACCTGACAAGGAGAGGCCAGATTCCCTTAAAAACCGTGTTCCTCATTTAACAACTGCAGCGATCCACTTAATGAATGTAGCAAGAAAGGTCGTAAGAGGGATGCTAAGCTCCCTTAACAACTCTCTCTCAGTCAGCAGGCAAAATTTTGGGCTCAATTGTGCTCGTAAGCCGAGCAATACGTGCGCTTTTGGTATAACGTCGCTGCATGTAGCTAACGTGGTCTTGTCACTTTGCAACGCTTTCTCCACTCTACCAAAGGGCAGGATTCCCAAATGGTGGGAGAATTCACTTCCCAAGTGGCTAAAAACTAGGGAAGGAGGAACACAGCTATTTATTCTTGAAATACACGATGCCAGAGGTTAAAAAATTCTTTCCTTCAAGCCCCAAGCAAACCTCCCCCTTTCCTTAATTCAAAACAGAAGCATCAGTAGCAATAAAGTTGATTCAGCTGCAGTTGAATTGTATTACTCCATGTCCTGGATTAAAGTCCCTTTCTCATCTAGCCCAAAGGATTATACTTTTCATTTAAAAATAAATAAATAAGACCCAAAGTATCGAAATACAACCCTGCCCTGACTCAAGCTGCAGCTGTCTGGAAATTTAGCAATGCAAAAATTCTTGTTTGTCTTCCTAAATAAGGAAATGCTCGCAAACTTGTCTCGAGGAGTTAATTTTTGGGTGTTTGGGGCACAAAAAAGGAAATAACAGATTTTCCTTGTCTTGGAGACAGCGCATCTGCCGCCAGGGATTTCGCTGTTGTCAAAATTTCCGTTTCCTGATGAGAATAAACCCCAATGTCCCTCTGCAAAGCTTTGAGATTAGCTTTATGAGCGAATAATTTTGTCTCCTGTTTTCAGTCTAGAGGAACAGGCTGTGTGGGGTTGACGATCCTTTAGAGAGATTGTTAAAAAAACAGCACAGTTGCAAAATAATATTCAACATTGTCGAATAGATCTTTTCAACAAAGCCCTGATAAATCAAGATGTTTGATTTGCCCCTATTCCCTGTTTGATTGGCAGATTAAACGTTCAAATTCAATTTTTCTTTCTTCCCAACTGATTTTCTGCCCATTTGAGGCCTTTTTCGGCCTCCCAGAGGTTCGGGGGAAGCCTCTGCAGCCTTTTATAGGCCGAAAACCAGGCCCATTTCATCACGTCCAATATTTCCGGAAATACAGGAAGTGACGAAACGGCCCTGGTTTTCGGCCTATAAAGGCTGCAGAGGCTTCCCTCAAGCCTCTGGGAGGCTGAAAAAGGCCTCAAACGGGCCAAAAATCAGCTGGGAGGTGCAGTGCAGGTAAGGGGGTTGTGGCAGGAAGCCACGTGCATTGCCTTCTGGGTGCTGGCACGCTCAATTTTTGGCACAAGAGCCCCAAAAGGTTAGCCACCACTGGTTTATACCATCATGGAACATTCAGGACCTCTTTATTTGCTATTTCCAATCCCTCTCTTTGCAGAGAGAGGCCCAGAACAGAGATTCGTATAGAGACATGTCAGACAGACTCTTTAAGGGAAGCACGCTTGTTTTTTGTTTTGTTTTTTTTTAAAAAGACATTTAATGGGAAAAGGCTCATCTTGACCGAAGGGCCATCTGTTTAGCATTTTATGGAACTCTTTAAAAAATAATAATAACAGTGGCCGCTGAACTCCCGCAAAGTCTGCAGAACGAAAGAAAAAAAAAAGCCATCACCCAGATGGAGAAAAAAATGTAAACAGCCTTTTTGTTTTTCGGATGAGAAAGAGAGCATGACAAAGCCTCCATAACACTTGGTGCTTTTGGGTCTCGGCCAAGCAGCAAGCCAGTTAAGCCAAAATCTTCGGTTTCAGCAGGGTGGAATATTTCCATCAGCGACATTCCAGGAAGCAGAACCTTATTTGAAAGGCATGGGATGGCGAAATCTTGACGGGCCGGAAAAGCAGGCGAGAAAACACCGCCTAATTTCGTAGAATTCCATTCAGCGACTTGAGTTTATGGGTCTTCAGGACGCGAGAACCTTGTGAACCCAATTTCTACCCGTTTTAATAGCAGCCCTACTTCATGGCCAAAAAAAAAAAAAAAAGTTAGATATTCATGGACGTATAATATTTAATGGGCTTGGTCTGCTCTCCTTAGAGACCCATAAGGAAGATTGCAAAACTTTCCAAGGAATAAAAGCTAGGAAAAACAGAAAAACCCTCCTGAAGGCTTGCTGGGGATGTTCATCTGACTTCCTTAAGGACTAGAAGCTTGGTTTAGCAAAACAAGGTGAGGCAGTTGAAGACTGCCCTGTGCGATGATGTAAGATCTTCCTGGCACTGAGTTCAACTCTCGACGCCTTGGTAGATGTATAGCCCTTGACTTACAACCGTTTGTTCAGTGACCGCTTTTTCAATTAGTCACATAAATCCTGGACTATTTTCTTGGTAATAACCCAACCAATGATTTGGAGAAAAAATTTTTCTTAGTCAACCCATTTTACAGCCTGGGACTACATATCTAAAGCCAAGTTAGTCTTTATTCCCTTCTTTCATCTCTCAAACATCAGAGTTTTTTTTCTTCTTTTGGATGATTTAGGGGTGTCAAATCCAATACTTTTAAAATTTGCAGCATGTTTGCTGAGTTCCTTTCATCCGGTTCCAGAATCTCTAATTACTGTTGGATTTATAGCTGACTTCCACGCCCCCCACCCTTCTACAGACAGTCTACTTCAAATAGCAAATGTCAGGATTTTGTTCTTTTCTCCATTCATTTTTTCCCCTCCATCCCACTGTTTCTCTATCAACGAACCTCATTTTATCCTTTTCGACTCAATTTTCCTTCCCGGCTCTAAATTCTTTTTTTTTTCCTTACAATTAAGGCCCCCGGGGATCCTGGCATCTAACACTACTTACCTTTCTTCCAGCTGAACCGAGTGTTCCCGACAATCCAGTATTCATGATCGTCAAAATGGATCTCCCCCGTCTGTGGGAAAAAGGCGTGAGCTAACTCGCCCGTGATCCCATCGAAACAGTGGTGGATCTGCGATTCCACGCAGTCCGTGTGGTTGATCGGGTAGAAACCTGGAAGGGAGTTTGTAGGGCAGGGAGAAAGAGGGGTTTAAAAAAATAAAAAATGAGATCATATTTACAAACCAGGACCATCCTGGCTTAGTTTTTCCACTTCTGGGCATCCTCAAGTGTTGCTTTTCAACTTTACTGCTATACCATGCAATGTTTCTCCACCTTGGTGACTTGAAGATGGGTGGACTTCAACACCCAGAATTCCCATGCTGGCTGGGGAATTCTGGGAGTTGAAGTTCACACATCTTCAAGTTACCAAGGTGGAGAAGCACTGCATTAATTTAACCCAACTTGTCCACCAGGCTAAACACATCTCCTGTACCATCCCTGGGAAACTGGGGGAATACCTGTGACCTCCCAACTCTATGGGCCAAGTTCCCCAAACAGCGCCAGCTTTGAATGCCGAGAGTCTTTTAACTTGCAATATAATCCAGCAGGGGGAAATTCTCACTTTGCATCCTGCTGTGGTCGTATTTAATTGGAATTAAAAGCATGCAAAATATCTTTTTTTTTTTTTAAAGTCCTGGCCCCTACCTATAATTCGGTTTTTTAGAACGGGATCCTCGCCCTACTTCTTGCTTTGAGCTCAAAGCAGCCATTTTGGGAGCCTTTCCGCCACCCCTCCTCATTTCCACACAGCACCCGGCCAGCTTCAAGACCTCACAAGCGATATCTTTGCAACTCCCTCCGGATTCCTTCGCTCCCAGCCAGACTAATGTTCTGTTTTCAATTTAGTGGCATGCACAGATAGAACGGCATGATCTGGTGAGGCTAAGATATTTTTTTTCCCCCACCCCAAATCTGGAAGAACGTGTAAAATCTCGTTTCGGCCATCCGATGATCTCGTGCTTGCCAGATGCTGCAGTGTGGACGCCTGATTTGAGGATGGAAACAAACAGGGGGGGAAAAATGGCGGTGAAAGGGCATTTCTGCCTTAGTCATCTCCACAATTGACAATCGAGTAGCCAGGTTTGCCAAGAGGACGAAGTTTCGATAAAATGTGGGACTCATTAGGGAACCGAGTCTAAGATAAGACTTTAGAAATAAGTCCTTTTTAAAAATGTTTTTATTCGTACATTTTTCTTTAACATATCTAAGTGCTTAATGAGCAGTGTATTGTCTGAGTCAATTTGCAAATACATAAATAATAACATTCTTGATTGTGTATAACGGTATTCTTCCAATTTCTAATTTCTACCTTTATTATCCAACTAACCATTGGTAAAACAAATCCCAAGTTAAAAATCTTTGTCCTTCCTTTATCTTTAATGTTAACCTACCCATTTCCGCACAGTCTTAATATTTTTCTAATTCTATTTTCATCCATAGGAATTTCCTCATTTTTCCAATGTTGTGCCAATATAATTCTCACTGCTGTCAAAACATGTAATATTAAATATACATTCCCTTTGTCATATTTTTCTGGCAGCGTACCTAACAAAAATATTTCTGGTTTTAAATCTATATGTTGTTTTATCGTTTCCTTTAGCCATGTATGTATTTTCATGGGAAAAAAAATACTTTTATAAGTAGTTCTATCTTTTTCAGGCTTTTCAATCAGCCATTGTTGGTTTCCGGCTTCCCATCTCCATCCTGCACCCTTAATCTTTCGTACTCCTTGTCATCTAGTATTACCGGGAGTCCTCCACTTATGACCACAGTTGAGCTCCAAATTTCTGTTGCTAAGCGAGACAGTTGTACAGCGAGCTTTGCCCCATTTTACGACCTATCACGCCACAATTGCTAAATGAATCCCTGTACTTCCTAAGTTAGTCACATTGTTGTTAAGTGAATCTGGCTTCTCCTTTCACTTTGCTCATGGTTGCAAAAAGGGATCATATGACACTGTGACCATTGTAAATACGAACCAGGTGCCTAAATTGGTCTGAACTTTGATCTCGTGGCTGTGGGGAATGCTGCAATGGTCATAGGTGTGAAAAATGGTCCTGTCATGCCCCTGTCAGAATCTGATTCAGAGGGGGAAGCCAAGCAGCTGAGAGTGGGAGTGTGGCTCTGTTGGCTGTGGAAGAAACTGGGGAAGGGCAAAGTCTGGCTGGGCAGAGCAGGGGAGGAGTTCAGAGGAAGACCCAGCCTCCCCCCCACCTCTTCATCCTAGGGGACACAGGGAGGAATGGAAAAGGGAGCAATGTGAGTTGCATGGCTTACGGGGGAGGAAAGGGCCCTGATTCCCTTCATTAGCTGCAGCTGGGAACACAGTATTTAAAAAGGGAAGCTGCGCACAGCAAAGTTGTTAGGAGCAAATGTGAATTTATCTGGTGTCGTCGTGGCTTATCTGGGTTCCTGGCGTCTTCCCAACTGTGTGAGTTTTGCTGTCCTTTCAAGTCTGCAATTCCTTCTCCTGCCCTGTCCAGTTACTGCAGCGTGATTTGTGTGGATTTTTAATTACAGTTTGTATGTACTTTGTTTTTGGACTGAATTTCCTCCACTTAAAGGCTGTTCCTGGGAGAGTTTTTTTCTCCAGCCAAAGGTAACCTGGACATTGGGGGCAAAGTTGGAGGTATTAGAGGGAATCTTCTTACTTATGTGACCGTGTTGCTTTTGTGCCACGCCCCTTTGGGTCATCACAGTCTCTCTTTTCACTGCCCTTATAACTTCAGTCACTAAACGAATGGCCATAAGTCAAGGACTACCTGTATACAGTACAGTACTTTCCAGATGCTTCTGTCGGAAGCGACAATCGGCGGCGTGAAGGTACCTACCGATGGTGAGGTCGCTGGCGGCGCTCACTGGCACTTCGCGAAAGGTGAACGGAGAGACATCGCTCCACATACGGAAAGCTGCGGTCAGCCCTTTCCTGGTCTGGCTTTTGCCAATCAAATTTTTGGGGAAAGACAGAATTCTGCGGAGGAAGACAAAAATAAACTATGAGATCAGCTCATAAACAGACTTCCGGGTTTGACTTCGCCCCCAGCACCAACCACGAATTTGGGGCTAGGCCATGAAAAGTTAACACCAGGATAAGAAATGGACAAGAACTCACTTTGGATCTATTTAATCAGAATCAGAATGGCAGAATGGGAAGGGACCTTGGAGGTCATATAGTCCAACCCGCTGGTCAAGGAGGAGAATCTATACCATCCCAGACAAATTCCACTCCTTCGTCCCATCACTCTGCTGAACACCGAATTCCCACAGTACCATCTAATGCCTGTGTATGACTACTACTACTACTACTACTACTACTACTACTACTACTACTATTATTATTATTATTATTATTATTATTATTATTATTATTATCCTTCTTTAGCATCTCCTCTTATTGATATCATTAATACAATTATTATTACTCTTTTGCTTTGCGTGTATAGTGAGAGCTTCTGCACTGGAGACTATTTCCTTGTGTGTCTTGATCACACTTGTTGGCCCAATAAAGTATTGTAGTAGAAATGATGCACTTTCCCTAGTTCTTACGGGCTGATTTGTCAGGAGGAACCACAAAATTATCAACTGCACAAGCAAACCCGGGGCTGGTAAACTGGGAGGTTTGCTTTGAACTGTTTGCCTTTATTTGTCACAATCCTTACATCTCTCTCTCTCTCTCTCCCTCCCTCCCTCCCTCTCTCTCTCTCTCTCTATCTCTCTGTCTCTTGTCTCTGTCTCTCTCTTTTTCTCTGTCTCTCCCTCCCTCTCCTCTCTCTCTCTTTCCTTCTGCCTCCCCCCCTCTCTCTCTCCCTCCCTCTCTTCTCTGTCTCTCTCTCTCCACCCAACAACTGAAACAGAGGAAGAACAAGGTCTACAAATAGCACCTTTCTCCGATTAAGTCTTGGTATAAAGATACAGGTATTTGTATATTTGTTTGTAAAGCAAAACATATCAAACTTTCAGAGAGTTGGGGTTTTTTTCTCAGCCAAATATGAGCTAAAGGCTTTTGAAGAAACACACACGCCATGCATGAGGTTTGCTGTGGCCAACATGGTCTCATCTGCCAATCTTGACTTTGGCATGGCTTAGCCTGGTAGGGCCAAAACAACCCTTATTTATTTCTTTTTTTTTTTCTTTGGCTTGGCAGTTTCCTGCCAGCCATTACAAAAGAGACGATGTTGTCACAGTTGTTCCTGGAGCTTAAAAAGACAGAAATGCCAACAATTATATTGCCTGAAGCCATTTCTGCACCGGCTAAAAGTTGTTGCTTTGTTCTAAGCATGGAGGAAAAAAAGAGAAAAGGAACGAATTAATTTTTCATTCCAATCCTTCAAGAGTTTGGATTTCATTTCCTGCATTTCCAATTCGCAAGTGGGCAAGCATAAATTTTAAAAAAAAAAGAAGAGGAAAAAGGATTCCAATGTCCATCAAATCTTAGTCCATTATAATTTCAACCAGGACTAATTTTTTCCTTTGAATCTGTGTTCTCTTCCCTCCATGCAAGAGAAGCTTTGTCCTTCCAGGGATTGGAAGGGAGGGAAAAATAGTGTTGGGTCCAAATTTTTATCCAAATATTTCCTTCTTGGCACCTCCCAAAGCAAAATTTATTTTTTAGAGTTGTGCAATGCCATTTGCAGTTTCATTCTTTTTTTAATTTAAAAAAAGGACACAAATGCAGAGTTTTGAGGGTTGAACATACTGAGTAAAATGCATATTATTAAGGGAAAGGCACAAAGGCCATTTAAGTAGGATTCAGGTGTCGTGTTTGTTTATTTTAGAAAGTGTAGAAAAAAAGTATTGTAATTATTGGGGTATTTTTATTTTGTAGTCGGATGTATAAATGCAAGAAAATACGAGATGAATTGAAAGATTTATGAGACATGCATTTTATGGCATCATATGGACAGTTCAAAAGAATTTTTTTAAAAAAATCCAGAGACTTAGCCGTTCAATTGGGGTGTCTGCATAAGATTTCTCTCACGAAAACAATGGTCTGGTTTACAACCGCACCAAACTTGATTATCCCTATATTCTCACTTTGTATACTATTACTTGTATATTTTTTTTATTCTTACTTGTAGGTTAGGTTGAAATGATCCCATTTGAGCCTTCCTGGTGTCAGCGTGTAACGTTTTTTCCGGAGATGAGGAGGTGGAGGCGGGAAGGGCAGACCCAAATTAACCCCAAGGGTCGGACCAGATATGGCCGTGTCTCCCTGAAACAAAGAAGAACAAGTCAGAACCTTAATACAGAGAGCATCTTCAAACAGCTCCCAGATCAAGTCAGTTTCTCAGCATTTTCCCTCCCTATTTCACAGCAGCCCTTTTTTTCTCCCTGCAGAAAGTCATTTTCTGTCTTAGCTTTCCCTCTAAACTGATTTAAATCAATTGATCGTAGGTCAATGCCCTTGAGATACGATGGATTTTAGCTCGCTCCCATCAGCATGTTTAGGCCAGAGGTGGTGGATGTCTGGATGACACCCAGATTGTCTGCTTTAATCCTACTAAATCAGACAGGAGCCTGGAAACCCAGGATATTTTCCAGAGGGGGAAAAAAAAAACCAACCCAAGCTTTTCCAAGTTACTAGCCCCTGGGGTTTATTTCTCGGAATTCAGTTGCCACTGAATGTGGTGTTTCCATTTAGCAATTATAGGTATTAACTGTTTATTGTCTTTCCAAGATTCACCCAGCCTCCTTATTTAAAGACAACCAAGCTGGTAACCTCCCTTAGAGGGAGATTTTATTTTTTTAATTAGGCATCCGTTGTATAATAAAGCATTTTTGCATTTTTTCTAAACTCATTTGTGCAAAAGAGGAGTTTTCTGCTTTGTGCAAAAATATGCGGTTTTGGGGGGGGGGGGAACGGAGCCAAGATCAGGAAAAGGCAAGAAAAGACGGACAAAATAAGTCCAACCCCCCCCCCCCTCTAGAAATGGAATGAAAGCCACAGCTGATCAGTTCACTCACTTCTGCTCCGAAGGCGAAGCGAAGGGGGAAATAGTAAAAATTGATTTCAGCCATATGAATTTTGGAGTCACAAGAAACACCCCCAAGAGGTCTCTTTACTGAAAAGCTGTTGGTTTATTTTTATTTTGTATTTTTTTATTTTAGAGCTGGAACCAGAACAAATATTCGCCTAGCTGGTGTATGACATTTAAAAGGTCTTTTATACTGCTGTTCTTCTCTGTTTCCTGAACCAAATAATCACAAGGGGCGCCTGCCATGTTACATCAGCAGTTGAAGGTGAGCCAATTCTGGCCTTATAGATTTGAGGGAGGGAAAAACTCCCCAACCCACCAGAAGAGAAGAAAGTGTGTTCAAGGCATCAAAGCTTTTGATAGATGGCTGCTGGTAACCAAGTCTCCAGCTTTACCCCAGCTTTCATAGCTACAAATGTAAGTGACATAACCACCCACATTTAATCGGTGATCTTGGAGTTTTACAGCAATATATGTATTAATATTACTGTAAAACTTTAAACAGATTGACAGAGTTGGAAGGGACCTTGTAGGTCATCTAGTCCAACCCCCTGCCCAAGCAGGAGACCTTACACCATTTCTGACAGGTGGCAGTCCAGTCTCTTCTTGAAAGCCTCCAGCGATGAAGCTCCCACAACTTCCGAAGGCAACTTCTGTTCCATGGGTTGATTGTTCTCACTGTCAGAAAGTTTTTCCTTATTTCCAGGTTGAATCTCTCCTTGGTCAGTTTCCATCCATTGTGCCTTGTCTGGCCTTCGGGTGCCTTGGAAAATAGCTTGACCCCTTCCTCTTCTCTGTGGCAGCCCCTCAAATATTGGAAGGCTGCTCTCCTGTCTCCCCTGGTCCTTCTCTTCCCTAGACTGGCCAGGCCCAGTTCCTGCAACTGTTCTTTAAATGTTTTAGCCTCCAGTCCCCTCATCATCCTGGTTGCTTTTTTATAGAGTCTCAGCATCTTTTATAATGTGGTGATCACTTTTAGACCTCTAGTTAAAAGTTTGTTTTAAAAGAAAATTGAGAAATTGGTTTATTTTACAGGGCAACTGAAACTCAGTAGGATGAAAATGAGCAGATCTCAAGGAGTTCAAATCTGCAACGTGTTAACCAGAAGGAGGTTTGGTTATATCACATATTTGTCAATTCTCCTCCCCCTCCCTCTCCCCCTCCCCCTCCCCCTCCTCCTCCTCCGATGTTCCAGTAGAAGAAACCAAGAATCCAAACAATCCTGAACCTCATGTTCATATCTAGCTTGGAAGTATCATTAAAATTGCGTGGCAGCCACCTCCTTTTCCTTGGCAAAACCTCGCTCCAGAAGTATTAAATCCAATTTTTTTTGGGGGGGGGTGTGTGTACTGGAGAGCTAAAGTTGCTCTCCACCCCGCCTTCCCTTCCCAGATCAAACATGGAGGCTTTCAAAGAAAATCTAAGGTTTTCTTTCTCTCCTGTTGGCAAAGCAAGTGAAAAAGAACCAGTTTTGAGCACGGAAAGGCCTCTCCAACTCCAGCCTTTCAAAGGCAAAATTCCTCGATATTTTCAATTTTGCTCATCTCAGCAAAAGGGGAGGTGGGAAAAAAACAATCCCCCCCCCCAGCTGGATGAATCACTCAGCTGCTGTGCTTAAGTAACAGAGAACTGGCTTTCTTGGAAGTCACCCAACTTCTCCATGGCTTTTATCCATGCCAACTTTTTCTCCTTGGAGTTACACTTTTCCTCCGGTTGCGGCAGGACTAGCGTCAGTGCCGTTGGCCTCGAGAAGCATCTTAAAAAGTTTGGAAAAGGCCTACTTGGGTAGCTTTTTCAGGCATGTGGAGGAGATTCAGAGGGTCAGGAAGAAAGGGAGAATGTAAGAAAAAGATCCACTGGTTCCAGAAGGGGCATCACTGATAGAGATTTAAACAAGGGCGACGTCGTTTTAATTGATTCTGGGATCTTTTATCCCAGAGCTGCATTGATGAGAGAGGATTGACAAGCACTCTGGAGATTCTCTGAAGAAAATCCCGATTGCTGGTTTGCAAAACAACCACAGAGACTCAAGGAGAGGAATCTTTTTGCCACCAGATGTTGCGAGTTTTGCTAGCATCCTTCAGCGCTGCCAAAGGCCACATCTGTTGAAACTCTTCCCCCAGCTAGAGAAAGAAACATGTTAGCTTGCAAAGCATTGGTGCATTCAGAAAGGAGACCTCAGCCTCAACTTCCCCTCCTGCCTCTTTGAACGGACAGTGCCTGACAGAACGCCTGGCCTGGAAAGGAAGGAGGGCTCTAGGACCAGAGCCAAAGAGTTGAGTTAAAAGAGAGAGTGGGGGAGGGAGAGAGAGAGAGAGAGAATGAGAGAGAGAGAGAGAGCGGTTAGACGAAAACGATTCACTAAACTTGTGCCTGCAAGTTTGATAATGGAACAGAGCAGAGATATGTAGAGAGACAGACATGCTGGAGGCAACATCGAATGTTGAGTTTCGTGAGAAAAATGGGAGCTCCTGATTTTATTGCCGTTATTGTTTCACATGGATAGATGATAGAGACAGAGATTATGATGATAGATAGGTAGATAGAGATAGATGGGTGGCTGGATGGATAGGTGGATAGATATAGATATTAAATAAATAGATGATAGAATAGATAGATAATAGAGATGAATGAAGATAGATGGTAGATGATAGAGACAGATGATGGATGGATGGATAGGTGGATGTAGATGTTAAATATATGATAGAATAGATAGATAATAGAGATAGATGAAGATAGATGATGATAGATGATAGAGACTGATAGATGATTGATGATAGAGACAGATGATAGATGATATGATAAATGATAAATATAGATAGATGATATAGATAGATTAGAGAGAGACAGACAGACAGCGTGCCATTAGCATGCTTGAATGTTTTTTTTAATTGTGATGTCTTGTTGCTATGATGGAAAGTGCCTTGGGAAACAATTGTAGTCTAAAATGTTGGACTCCAGTTCTCATCATAACAGAATAAGAGTCGGAAGGAACTTTGGAAGGTCCCCTTGTCCAACCCCTTGTTCCTACAGGAAACCCTACACCATTTTAGACAAATGAGATTGGTTGTCCAATCTCTTCTCAAAACCTCTGGGTTTTGTTTTTTTTTCTTCCATCCATGATCCCCGTCCCACACCAGGTTTCAAACAGGACGAGGAACGCCAACGGCCCATCCAACATGCACAAAGGGAGCTTTTAGTTGTAGTAGGAAAGAAAACATGGACACGTAGCATTCAAGTCCCATCCTGAGGGATTTGAAGTCTTTCTCTACTTTTAAGTCTACCTTGCCAGACTGTTGTGAGGGTATTGCGGGCTCCCACAAAATCCCTTGGAAGGAGAAGCAGGCGAGATAAACAGCCCTATTTGAAATATTAGCGGCTTACCTGGATCTTCTGGGCCTCTCTTGCAAACGAATCTTCCAAAACCACCAGAAGAATTAAAAGCAGGAAAATGCCGGTGAAATTTCCAGGGCTTGGATATTTATGTTTCTTTTGCCTGCCAGCAGGCAATAAAAAGGGAGGAACGCTCGCAGAGAGACTTTTGAACTGCTCCATGGCTGTATTTAATTAAAACCGAACGCGAAAAGAAGAATTACCCGGGAGGAAATTCAACCCATATACATCCAGTTTGCAAGGCAAATTGTTCTGAAGTTCTGAAAAGTAGGCTGAGATGGCAAAATTTCCTGGAGTGCTGGAGCAAAATTTTTTTTTTTTAAAAAAGAAGGATGCCAATGTCAAGGTTTGAGTTAAGACTCTTGACGCACTCCGCCAGGGAATCTCTGCTTGTGGAAGAAGGGAATGGAAAAGGAAAGAGGGAAAACAGCTGGAAAGGAAAAGGAGAGTTAAGCCAGCTGTTTCGGCATCTGGATGAGGGCGGCCCTAGATCCCTGTGTGCGTGACACACACACACACACAGACACACACCAGGAGGAGGAAAATGATGGACTCCCAATCGGTGGATTCTGAACATACAGGCACACGCCCTGAATCTTTTATCGATGGGATCTATTCCACAGTCAGAGATCCACCCACAAGCAAGACCCAGCTTTGAGAGGACTCTGATCTGCAAGAGAGGAGTTTTGTATTCACTGGGGGTCTTTGACTGCTCATCTTGGTTGGCCCTGTTTGCAGTGTTGTAATTTCACTTTGTATCTGTGTGTCTCCTTTGGGGAATTTACCCAACGGGGAACGTCACAATTCCCAGTATCATTTTTTTGAGATGGCGAGAAAGCTTGCCCATGATTTTTCCCTAGGAAGCTCAGCTTAGGAGCCAAAATCCTCTAGAGGCTTGTCCTACCTCACAGGGCTGTCGGGAAAGTCAACAAGGGAGAACTCGAATCAGCGCCTGGTGCTTTGTGAGGTGAAGTTGGCCAGAGGGCAGGTATAGAAGAAAAATTGTGGGATACAGTTTAGAGCAGGCCAGGGGTCTCCACCCTTGGCGACTTGAAAACTTGTGAACTTCAACTGGGAGTTGAAGTCCACACAAATTTTCAAGTTGCCACGGTTGGATATTCCTCATTTAGAGGGTCTTTAAAAAAAAACAAAAAAACCTCCACAGCCACTTTCCAGGTATGGAGGAGAAAAACTACAGCTTGAAAAAGAAGAAAAACTTTGGGGAAAAAATGATTTTTTTAAAGTTTAATGAGTTTTTCTCCCAAGGAAAAGCCGAAGACCAACAGAGGGATGTAACAGGAAGTAAAAATGCTTAGCAAATATCTTATCTTGTCCTTTTGCTGGACATGTTTAGACAACTGAAAAAAATGGGAGGTGATGTGTTAAATTCCTGGCAGGCCTTACCGCTGGAACGATAGGGACTAGAACCTATTTCTTTAGACATTATACTGAATTTGCCCCAAAGAAAGCGGGTACTGTACACCTCAAATACACAGTATAATTCCTGTCTCAATTCTTTTCTGTAGATTCTCTTTTGCTATTTTTAAAAAAACACCATCTGCAATATTTACATGCCTTGACACAAAGCCACAATAAATATTACATAAGCAGCACAAGGAACAGTTCTTAATTCTGGCCGTTTATATTTTTTTTCGTTCTCACATCTGGCTGTTTAATTTGGTCACCTCTCAAAAATCAGTGAATCTGGCTCCATATAATTTTGGACAAGAGCAGAAGGGGAAAAAAAGTCTTGCTCGCATGGGCCTTTGTCAAAAGCTTGATGAAAGTTTGTCTACTCCACCCATCTCAGATGCCACTAAAAAGATAATAATCGGTTGGATAAATTTGAATTGATACTATCAGTTTATATGGCTTTGCTGCAGTGGTGCTTTACAAAGCAGGATATGGAGGAGTAAATGCAGCAAGGAAAAACAATAAAAAGGCCCTTTGAAAAGAAAGAAAAAAGCTGCTTTCCCCCCAAAACAGGTATTTTCTCCCCAAAACAGGCATTTTCCATAATAAGCACTGGCCTTGATAAGGTGTAATAGCCAGTTATGTCCACAGGAGGGCAGACTTTGCTATTCCAGTGATTAAAAAGAAGGCAGTCCTGGATTTAGAACAGTTTGTCTAGTGACTGTTAATAATTGTCTCATTTAGTAAAAGAAATTTGAGCTCCATTGTGGTCGTAGCTCAAGAACTACCTATGTTGGAATTTTTTTTTTTAAATAAGCCCTCTAGTGGTTGTTACACATATGGCATCCAAAGTTTTGTATGGTATTTTTGCTATGGAAATGTTGAAGAGAAACTGGACCCATAGATCCACAGGACTGTGATATAGATCATCAAGGTTTATGTCTTTTAAGAAACTGTTTATTGCGACACAACGTAGTCTGATTTCTGGCCATCTTAGACTGACATTCTACGATGAATGCAATTTTATTTTACTGAAATACAAAAACAAACAATCTTTGCTTTGCCCAGGGTCTTAAAGGGATGGCTAAATGCATATATAGACCAGAACAGTCCATCATCTGGCTAGTTTGACTTAACATTTGCTTTCTTCCTTAGGGAGAGGATGGCCAGCAGGGGGCACTCTTTTTATGCACTTGTGTTATACATACATAACATACATAGTCCCTTTGAGGCTAAAACACCTGAGCCATCAGAGGGCGCTCTTGTTGCACTCTGTCATTGATAGTCTTAGTATTCCCTTTCAGCCCACTATGCCCAAAAGAACCACCAGAGGGCACCATTTGCATGGCCTATGCTATATAGAAGATAGATGAGAAAAGAGTGCCATCCAGTGGCTAATTTTTAATAATGCAGCTTCTATATTATGCACACTGAAAAACCTGCCATCCAGCGGTGAATTTGGGAACTGCAGATTCAAACCATTGGGAATGGTCTGCCATCCCAAGGTATATATAATACACAAACACACGTTATTAAATCTGCCATCTAATGGTTGATTTAGGACCTGCTTATTTATGTAACTCTGTACCCCGTTATTTGCTTATTGGCAAAATGGCCACGAGATGGCGGGCTATTATTGTCAATACAATTTCCCATAGACTTTGAAAACCGTCGTTTTCATGTAATTTGAGGTCTATTTTCAACCCATTTTCCCCTCTAGAGTGATAGGGGACTCAGAGTAAGACCCCTCGTCGGATTTCGCCACATTTGTAAC